ATGATGTGGGAGAGAGCTTTGGCCACACACTCCCCGTCACTGCTGCAGCAAGGAGGCTTACCATCAGAAGGCACCAAGCACCAGTGCACGAAAGTGCTTTGTTCACTGTCTCCATTTGCGAAATGGAACAGGTCGGCTAAAGCTTGCTTGATGGTCTTTCCATTTCCAGTTGCTATGAAGTCGTTTAGGAGCCAAGTAGTTCGTTTTTTTCCAAGTCTCCATCTCTGGTGGGAACTCGTGCACCACCATGCCTAGAGTGCCATCTGAAATGTAATCGTGTAAAAAAGCCATTTCAAGGCTTCGTTAGTCTAAGACTAGGGATTCAATCCTAAACTTCTAGTTTTAACCCGCTATTAGGCCTAAAACCTTGGGGTTGTGGCAAGACAAACACGTTTGGTCGTTCAAACTCTGGAGTGAAATGATAAACTTTTAAGAATTTAGAATTCCCTACCTGGGAGCAATGTGAAAGCTGGCTGTTATTAAGTGCAAGGTGCGCATGCACTGGCCTTCCTTCTGAAACATGGACACGAATGCGCTGGCGAGACTTCTCCGAAAAGAATGTCCCTCGAACAAATGGGCCAGCCTGACTACTGTAGCCCAGTATGAATCCACAGAGAGCACTACGGGTCTTCGCGTCAGGCAAAGTTGATGGTTCAAGCAGCGGAAACGAATGCCCAATGAAGAAACATCTTTTGCTTTGGCACGCTTTGCGCGTTCACATCGCCAAGCGGCGTCATTCGCCTTCAAAGCGTCGCCCATCAGTACAGTAGTCTTCCACTGGCAAGAGCTGAGGGCCCTTGCATCAAACCCGGCACGGCGCCAAAATGCGCCAACACCAGAAGAAGTTGCTACACACCATGATGTGAACCCCTGATGAATGGCACTTGCCTTGCCACTGTTCAACACAAGCAGAGGTGTTGGTACAAATAGGCAGGCGGCTGCATGTTCGCCATCTTCACGGAAATTCACAACTGCCGTCTGAAAGGTGTTCATGATTGTGTACACGACGCTTCTGCCTGATTGAGCCCGTAGCCTAGTTGACGTGTCGTCTGCTGTGCAAACATTCAGAAGGTGCTGGATGTTGCCCCTTCCTTGGAGAAGGGACATCAATGCAGACTTCAAAGAAACCAGTAGGCTCCAAACGCAGCGAGCGCGTTCACGAGAGAATGCCTGCTTTACATCATTGTTGTCGTCTGCTGGGTCAAAACTTGGTTTTCTGTAGGATCCTCTCTGGTACTGGTGGGTGAAAAACCGCTGCTGCAAGCGTTGAGCATAGGTGGGCTCCCGAGTGGGGATCTTTGCTGAGTCAGCCTTTGCCTTCTTTACTGCTTTGGCAGCACGAGCTGGTGCTGTTTGCAATCTTTTTCTCAATGCTTTGCTGTCACAATGAGACTGTTGTCCATCTCTCGTAGATCTGGGCGGCTCTGCAGTGCATGTGACTTCATCATCATCACTGTCAGAGTCGCTGCTGATTGGCTCAGCCTCCAATGGAGGGGCCATGTCAAGGCCATGGCCATGGCGACGAGAGTTCAAAGATGCAAACAAAGACATCATGAATCATGATGCACATCACGAGTAAGTGAGTGTTCCAATAAACGACGTGCACCTCTCCAATCTCCCAGCTCTAGCAATTCATCTCGCCATGTCATTTGTTTTGTTTGTGTGTTTACCCGGTGGCTGCACTAGAAACGCTAACTGACCACACACCCACAGTGAAAGTGCAGAACGTGTGGAAACAAGGACACTGTTGGCAAAATACATGGTTTGCCTGGGCCAAACAACCTTCATCAATCACGCGGTGGCCTCTTCGTCTTCCCTAAAATCTTACAAGGTGGCGCCGGATGACGATCTGATCAAACCCACCTCGCCTTATAGTTCAAGAAGAAGGGATCACATGTGGGACTGTCGCCTTCACCCTTGCCTCCAGCATCAAACTTGTCAAAGATTGATTCGACCTGCAGAATGCTGGGCAGGAAGGCGGAAGGGTGTGATTTGCAAGACTGGTGGCATCAAACTGCAGAACATTGCAGAACCATTACTAGGTCTTGACGTGGAATCCTGAATTTCAGGACTCCTGACTCTGACACTTTCATGACTTGAACACAGGCAGAGTTGAGATGCCTCCTCCAGTAGAACTGCCCGAGGTCGACGGGAGCCTGCAATTGCAGCATTTCATGGTACTCTGTTCTGTGGGACAGTAGAAGTCCAAGTGTAGGTGAGGTGACTCTGCTCTTACTCTTCATTGGATCTCCATCTCAAACCAATCTTTCATCCAAGTGGCGGATGTGCATTGCACAGCTCACAAAGGCTTCTCCGTTTGCAGTTTCAAACGGGTTCACCCGATCTGCAAGTTGTTTTCGCTTGATTGAGGACAAGCGGGAGTAGGGCTGGCAAGGTGGGCCACAGCAAAACAGGTCCTGCATTGAACTGGGCTCAGGGAACAAAGGTGCCCAACATTCAATGCAGTTCATCTAACTCTAAAACTGGACCTGGAACCTACAAGATTCAAGGCCTGAACATTTGAACATCAGTCACTCAGAGATCATTCAAGAGTCGGAAAAACTCAGTCAAGTGTCTCCACCCACGCCTCACCCAGACCCTTTGTCCTCTTGAACTATGCCCTTGTGGCATTCCTTTGAGTTGTGCAGGTGGCAAGTGCGATCCGACGCATTGTCCAAAAAGACGCCAGCATCTGAATATATGTGGTCAACTTAGCCGGTGAGCAGTAAACAAGTGGGCAGAAAAACTAGTAGCTTAAACCTGACAACATCTAGAAGTCTGTCTAAAGGTGTCAAATGACAAATATGTAGAATCTGGTAATCTGGCGTTTGAAATCAAATCTTAGCAAAGTCGATGCCGTTTTTCTTTTCCTTTCTGACTTCTGACTGGAATGAAATGAAATGTAATTAAATCTACCAAAGGTGCTGTTTGGTCCATGGTTCCGTAAGATGTAGCGACGCTTCACATGGTCTTTCTCCATGACTGCAGTTGTCGTGAAGGGAATGCCAAGATGCTCTTCAATGTCCTTCCTGGGGTCAAGCCAGGTTTCAGAAAAAAAGACAACTACCATGGACCATGACTGGACCATGTCCTGTCCAGATCTGCTTTGAAACAATTGATTGACTCCTCTTTCATTTCCCTCTTAATTAGCAGCATCTCTTAAGATTGGTTCTGTTGGTCCAAGCCACATGATGTAGGTAGCTGTGCACCCGCCAGCGCAACCTTCAATGAGGGTCAGCCTGGGGTCAGGCACGGTGACAAAATGAGTGAATGGAACATTTGTGCACAACATCTCATAGGCAAGGGATCAACGACTTGCACGGTTCCTGTCATGGATTCTGGGCAGCTACCGGTGAATCTAAATGACCAGTCAAGATGCGAAGATCTGCCAGGTGGTGCCCCGAGATTGGCAGGCAATTGCATGTACGTCTTAAGCTCCTCGACCCAGCGAAAGCATCGGAGTGTCTCAGGAAGAGGAATGATCCTTAGAATGACTCAGGACGAGCAAGGATGTGAGGATGTTGAGGATGTGGCAGGAATCTCAGGTTCCGTCCCTGGTTTGCGCAAAAAAACCAACAAAAATTTTCCAGCTGAGACAAAGTCTCTCATCTGGCATGTAAACCTGCCCTTGCTGCTCCATGTTGAATGCTGACGACTGCTAGCTGGCAAAGAAACCCGCACTTGTCTAACCCAGCCCCAACCTGTTGCATGCATTTCGACCTGACCAATTTCCAACATCAGGTTTCCTTCAACTTGGTTGGCGCCCCTACTCGAACCTGAAAAATGCAAATGGCGGCCGTACGTGCATGCCATGATTCCAACCCAAAAAAACCACAGACCCTCAACCAGGACATCAGGACATCCCTATATGGAGTTGCACAGCCAGCTGGCGACATAGCATAGCCAGCCACAAACTCATCTACCTAGTGGCCAAGTTCTCGGAGGTGGTGGAGGCGGAGGAGGTGGCAAGCGGGCGGTATGTGGAATCGGAACGGGTGGCGGCCGTGGTGGTAACTTGCAAGGCATCCGTCCTGCCAAAGGTGGTGGTGGAGGAGGTGGGCATCTCATTATTCTTCTCAGTGTTGCCCTCTTTGGTGGAGGCGGAGGCTCTGGTAAATTCGGTCGAGACACTTCAGCAGTCTCAGCTGAAGTAGTCTTCTTTGACAGCCTGTCCTTCTTCTTGATCCTAATCTTTCTTCTCACCTTGACACGCCTCCTCTGGGAGGAACAGTGAGCTGAAGTCGTTCTCTTCCTTTTTGTTTTCATGTTGGAGCCCGTGGCTGCGCACAGAGGTGAACATAATCACTGTGATCAGTGATCACTGATCACACTCACATGTGTGCCCCAAGCCCCCCTTTAGAAGAAATAGTTTCTAATAAACTTATAGGAGTCCTAGACTATGGGGGACTATGGGTAACTACCAGTGGCTCTGCCTCTTTTTTCCTTTTGCTGTATGATGTGACATGCGCACTCACGCAATGTCCAGTAGTATGTCACCAATGTATCCTTCAGATCCATATCATTGTCGCCAGTTGGTACTGCATCAATTTCCACAGTACGGAAGCAAATGACAAAAGGTGCACTAGGTGCAACAGCTGGGCCAAAATATAGCCTCGCACTCATCCTGACTGGCAGGTTTTGGTTTCCAAGCTGCATGACGGCCTGGTAAAGGGCCCCCCTTGATATGTTCCAAACAACTTCTGGTCCTTGTGCTGCCTAGAAATTATTTACATGCAGGGCCACAGTAGTGGTGGTAGTAGTAGTAGTAGTCATCCCTTCACCTGCCTCAATTACCCTGGTGCATGGGCCTCTTCAGGCTTCATTGGTTTTATATATAGTTCCCAATAATTTATAATATATAGTCCCAAGATCCTAACAGAGAGCCAACATAAAGAGGCCCATGCACCTCCCAAAAAAAATAAAACAATCAACACGTGGCAACCTCCATATGTCCTTTGATTCCAAGTAGCTGGGCCCGCCCATAGCATCTCGGCGCTCAGGAGGAGGAGGAGTCGCAGCTGCATGAGGATAGCGAGGGGCCGAATCCAGAGGAACTCCTTGCTGATGCTCAAAGGCGCAAAGCACCCAGTCCAACTAGGTATACGCACCATAGATGGCCGCGTGTTTTGTGCTCTTATACATGATTCCTTTGCTTCAGTATTTGCAGGGCCACTGAGGAGAAATTCGAAGGTCTGAAGGATATGTTTGAACACGGCCCCTGACAGGGGAGAAGAAAAACAGTTTCCAAACCACCTTAGAATTACGGTTCAGCACTAGCACCTCACAACCCCAGAAACTAACAACACCTCGGACGTTTTTTTCACGTCTTCAGGAGTCGTCCAAGTTCGTCCCAAAAATCATTCGGCGTTTTGCCAACGATGTTCTGTGTTCTGTCGCCGCATCACTGACAGCACGGTTGCTTCAGACAGGGATTCAGCAGTGTGTGACCATCCTCTTGTTTCATCGTATTTCTCTTGGAAACGTTTTAGTTACAACAGATTCATCCCAAACACACAACCAACATCGAAACAACCAACACAATGTTCAAACACTCACGTCCTAAGATCTGGTCGTGCACCGAAGTTCTTAGAGAAACCAAAGAAACCAAGATAACATCAACACAAAAACCATCTTTCAGGGCATCCCGAAACGAAAACAGCAACACTAAGTCACTAAGCAAAGGGAAGCCGAACTGTTCAAACACAACTCCCTCATGGAGTTGTGTTTCTATATCATGAAAAAAAAACAAAAACGCCGTGCGATACTCATCAAAGCTCAACCCCTAAAACCAACCTGTAAAACTTCACTGACACCGTCCAGAAACCCACAGTCATAACCTAACCATAACCCATAACGTCATTACGTCATTACCATAACGTCATTACCCCCCCACCCCACCCCCCCAGATGTGTCTGTGTGTGCGTGTTTGTGATGTCATGGTGAAGCAAGCACATGTATTATGTGACCGAACCGAAAACGACGTAAAGAACAGTTTAAAAAATTAACAAAACACCACTGCCATCTATGGCGCTTGCTCCAACTACCAGACCTGGGGGCATGCTGGTGTCCAGTGTGTTTTTTGGAGGCAAGCTACATGAGAAACGATATGTTAGAGTTTAAGATAGAAGTGGAAGGATAGAGGGAAACTGTCATGGACCCTGAAAATCATTGATCCCCATGTTTGGCCACGGATTCTGATTGCTAAACCAGCAGCGCAGGACCAATCAACAGAAGATCATCCGGTGAGCCATCATCCATAAGCGACATTGCCAAGTGCCACTAGAACTCCTACGCAAACCAAAGCACAGAAGGTGGTTTTCCCAACCTAGTCTGACAAGAGGTATGTGTTGTCTTTTTAGCGGTTCCACTTGGCCCACCAGGCGCGGTGCCTTTGGAGTTCTTTTGGTCCGTGTGCTAGCGGCTCACAACTTGATCAATGCAGATTGGTGGAGCCTCTCTGATCCCTACACCAAGGCGCAAGTGGGACCCGAGTCGTGGAGTTCTTTCATGTTCTTGGAAGAGCTTTGGGCCGAGCAGTCAGGGTAGTTGCTTTGCATTTGGTAGACGGTGGTCATCATTTTTTAAGAGCCTAAGGAGGTGAGTTATAGAATCAGCCCATACCACCGCAGTCATTCTGATCTGACAAGTCAAATCGATCGGTTTACAGTGGATTTTAGAGGCACACTGGCAGGTGACAGTGGATGGAGACACTAGAGTCACTGCTGTGGTGGACGACTGCTACCTGGAAGCGTGAAACGCACTGCTGCAAATGTGCGATTAGTTGGCCAGGGATTTCCAGGCTTCCAAGTAGATCAGGGAGGTGAACATGTCAGGCCTTCTTTATGTTTACATATTTTTGTTATGGCGACTGTTAAATGATTGGTGACTTGTAGGAGATTGGACTTGTCGCGATGGATTTCCATGATTTCCAAACGGCCGTTACACCCCAAAGTTGGCCACTTTTCGCGATGGGCCAAGGCTTGGATCCACGTTGGGACGAGGAGCTTTGGAGCTTCGACGTAGCAGCCCTTTGACCTGGTGGGCAGCACTTCAGAGAACCATGTGTAGTGGCTATCCATCTAGTCATGAACCTGGAGGATGACTGTAGTTATATAGCTTCCTGTGTAAGAGTGCAGGTTTGCTTAGAACCCACCGCCTTAGCCAGTTCAGTCATCCACAAGTGCCACCAAGTCTCAGAGACTCTTCTGGCTAGTGGCAGTCTTCCATGACCCCATAACTCCAAGGTCTTTGGACCACATTGTACCTATGCGTGTTGGACCAATGTGAACTGCTGAAGCGTTTGCTATCTGGCAAAGGATGTGGCCCCCACAATAAAAGTCATTGTCATTGTCATGTTTTTTAAAACCACCATGAACCCATGGAATTTCATGAATGGGTGTCCTTGCCTTCCTACCCAAATGAGCATCGTTCAAAAACTAGGTGTTCATATTTAGTAAGGACATGTTCATAAGGACACTGTGCGTAAGCAAAAACCTGAAGTGCGTAAGGTTGCGCAAACATTTTTTTGGCTGTATTGCGTAAGCAAAGTGCGTAAGCTTGACTTCTCCATGTATTTGCATGTGTGCTTGCTTCAACTTTCAAGTATTGGGATACTGGGAAACCAATCAATACCAATCAGATGTGTTGAGACATGTTTGTTTGAGGAACCTATTCTTGCAGGTGATGATTGATGTTGGCACCAAGTAAAATCATATAGCAAGTCAAGTGCGTAAGCTCATGTTGTGGTGTTGTGGAGAAAGTTTGTGTTTGCGTAAGCTCCGCGCAAGCGCTTCATGTCCCCTGCATGGCGCGTAAGCTGAAACGTGAGTCGCGTAAGCAAAGCGCAAGCGTGTGCGTAAGCACCTCATGACGAAACTTCGCTTCAAAGACAGGTTTTGAACAACGCTCAAACGAGCATAACATGAGTTGCCCTGCTGGAACTGAGCCTTTGAGAAAGCACAATCAATGAACATCTACACGCATCAGGACCATATGTAACTCTTTTGGCCAGTTTGGCTCGAAGGTCTAAAAGAGACACACCGGACCCATTGGATTGGACCAGCGTGCGTTTTCATGAGGGATGAAACTAACTAACCACAGTTGCAGCAATAGTGTCCTTTTCAACGAAAGTACACCTGCACCAAAGAGTGAGCCTTGAACACTACCTCCACTTGCTTGGCTCGCAGCACCAGGCAGAGTCCAGCCTGGTGCGCTTAGAAGTCTGGGACAAGGATGCGATGCAGGACTCGAAGCAATATCGATAAACCAACTTTTTCTGACAAAGTATATGTGGTGGAAAACTTTGGCCGAGGATCATGGGTCGATGCTACTGTAGTTGATTCATCCAACACCCATGGTGTGGCTCGTTGGGGGCCATTTGCTTTAAGACAGGAATGATTTCTATTGTACCTTCGGCTGGTGCTTGTAACTGATGTGAATTGACTAGTCTATTGACACTGTAAGCTCTGTGAATTGCGTGCAGTGCTTTATCACCAAGGCAGTTGACTTGACATTCGGATGTAATTATTGTAATAGGTAGAAGGACAAACAGACCAGTCAACCGGAGAGTGTTTTTTGCACACCTAACTATATATTGAATTTCACTATCAGCGCTCTCATAAGGAACCAGAGTAACTCGAGTTCAAAGCCTGACAGCCTGAATCTTTGGACCTGGTTGAGTACTGTGCTCTTCCTCCATGCATTACACGCTACTAGGGGCTCCTGGCATCGCTACTAGGAGCATGAAGCTACTAGGGGCTCCTGGCCGTGCTACTAGGAGCAAGGACGCTACTAGGGGCTCCTGGCATCGCTACTACCTGTAGTCGTGGCTATATCTGATTATCTCGTCGCTTGCCAGGACGACCCCCTGGGCCATGTGGCCATCCCAGTGGCAATGGCACCCGGCGAGGAGCTGAAGCGCTTGCGCTTCGCGCTGGACCGGGTGGCGCACCTTGGACTTGAGGGCAATGATTTATAGGAGGTCTGGTGTAGTGGTGAATATTATGAGGATGACTCTTAGCCGCCTTAGCCATCCTGAACAGACTGGTACTGTTCTCTTCCTCTCCGCCCTCAAGAACTGGAACACAACAAGAGAAAAGTTGCTGTTCTTGTTTGATGCACACCTAAGTGATGATCCCTTTCACCCATTTCGGAATCCCAAACAGGAGGCTGGTGATGGCTGGGATTGAGAGGCGGTCCCCTTGGACTCACAATAATATGTTTTGTCACCTGGTGGAATCCACAGGTAGAAATGGAAAGGTTCAAAGCATTCCACTGGCAGTGCTTGAACGTAAAGAGATTGTGCATATGTCGTACGTTTTCAAGTAAGAAACTTCAGTTAACTCATTTGCAGAAAAGCTGTAACAATTGAAATGACAGGAGCTGTTGGAGATTGAAGCAGATTGAAAGAGATTGGAACAACTGATCATAGCAAATCTCTTGCCTTTGACAAACGGCTTGAGACACTTAGCCCGTTCTGTTCAGCGCTCTTGAGGCATGGCGAACTGGAAGTCGAGATGAGATTTCTGAGGCCCGCAAGAAATATCGAGAGAAACGCATAAGATATGTGTATATATGTATATGTGAATATATATATTATATATAACTATATCACTATAAAATACTAATACAATTTAAGTCATGTAATATGTATTTTATAATACATACATATAATATTGTATGAGCCTCATCGAGATGGCTCCAAAACTCTCGAGATGAATCATCTAGCCGTTTGTATGGTTCTTCGGAGAGGAATGACTCCTGCGTCCATTTTTGCCAGTCTGCCTCAGACCGGCGCTGCTCCTTTCTTCTCAACCTGCCCCTTTATGTTGGCAGAACTTGGCTGCCACAGGGCGATCTTTGTTGCATGTATGTTTGAAGTTGAAGCTTTGCTAGGCAGAAGACTTCGCGGGACACGTATACAACGCGAAGCTTGAGAGGAAGGGTTTGAGAAGTGTTCCTCATGTGCTGGTCAATATGATCAATACTCTGCCTTTTTTCAGGAAGCATTGGCTCTAGGTCTTCGGCTTTAGTCTTTGGTAAGTTGGGCGTTTTTTGTCTCGGACCATTGTCCAATGTTCATAAAGCAAACGGCATATTAGCTTCCTGGCATTGCTACTAGGAGCAAAAACGCTACTAGGGGCTCCTGGCCGGACTACTAGGAGCAAGTAGCTACTGGAGCAAAAGGCGACCCGTCTTGTCTCGGACACCCATAAAGATTACCTTTTTTGGAAGATGTAACCCAAGCATCCACCTTGACCCTTCGTAGAGAAAGTTGTCGCAGCCGATAATTTGAACGCTTCCACCGGCGCAGGGTGGAGACAGATGATTCAGCTGACTCTCTTCTTCAGTCGGGCGGTGCTAGCCGCAAGCTGCCATCACCGAAAGCAGCGAAAGGGGCATAGTCAGCATCGGACTGTTTGAGCGACTGTGCAGTCGAGCCATGAGGGACTGAGTCACAGGGGTTGGGTCCAAGATTCAGCGGCGCCCCAGTCCACCAGAAGGGAAAAGACTGCTTGCACATTGGTTTTTCTTATGTTTTTACCCGCAGACGGCCAGGTGTTTGAACGGCCAGAAGCGGATTATGCCCCTTCACCAGGAGCGAAGTAATGAGCATTCGCCTGGACTGGAGGAGTCGGGCCAATCAGGCAAGCGATATTATCCACACGGAGCAACGAAGATTCTCTCACAGGAAAGAGCATTCTTCACAACTGACTGCTGATTGAATTAATCAAAGATTCCTGATTCCCTCCCGTCTGCGCCGAAAAAACAGCCGCGTCTCCAGCGATGCCGCGGCCGTTTTTCCTTACGTGTCGCGCCCCTCGTGCGACTGCGTGGAGTTAATGTTTGGAAGCCACTGGCTCAGCCAGAAAAGGACTTCCCACCGAAGAAAAATGCTTCGTTTCCAAAAAAGAAGCGCTATGTCCCTTTGGGTAGGGGGAAGAAATGGTATACGTTGTGGGCCACGAGACATAGACATCACGCCATCATCCGTCGCTACCGTTCATGGTTACACTTGACACACTCAAAGGTTTGTTGTGACTGCCGGTAGAAAGGGCCAGGCATTAGCTGGGTAAACTTGCATAGACCATCATAGGACATACCTGCCACACTGTCCCACGCTATCCCAGCAAGTAATAGCAGGTGAAGCTACCGGTCACTGGGACAAGAGTTAGATTCCTTTATCATATTCTTTAGATTAAATTAGAACAAAGCAATCTTGCACCATGCTGCGTTGGTTCTTTCTCTTGGTGGCTCTCCATTCCTCAAATCCTTTGGTCACCAATCCCACGGAGGGAGTCCACCAGGTTCCAGACAGGCGAGTCCACATGGGACTACGACGCGGCTCAGATCCAGCGCGCCGCGGACCGTGATCGCAAACGGTCGCAGAGGTGATGTTTCGGATTGTTTGGCGTTGAAACAGCTGATCCTGTTGAAGGCTTTCCATCAATTGTAATCGGTTTTTACCCGTGTAATTCGTCACACACAAGGATTCTTGGTATGAGTGCGGAGAAATTGGCTTTTGTATGTCTTCGTGGGTAAAGTCTAGTTTCAACACACCCGGCAAAATATATGCATTTGAGTATGGGCCTTGAGGGTCATCGTCAATCTTGGATCTTGCCAAAAACCTGCAGAGCGAAGGCCTCCAGGGCTTAGAGGGACTAGATCGTCATGCACTGTAGGTGATCCATGAAAAAGGAACAAATCTTTGCTCATAATTACAGATTTTTTATTTATGTGATGGTTTCCAGTTCCATCTTTGGGGGGGGAGTGGAATGCAAGTTAGCCAAGGCCTACCAGAAGTGGTTTTCCTTGGGTGGTCACATTTTAATTTCCGGGATCTTGATGGATAATGTCCTTCCTGAGAGGAGAACCCTTTCCATAACTATGTGGACGGCCCGGCGGCTGAGCAACTGGAGAGAACTCTTGCTGACACTGAGGGTCACTGACGTTGATGTCGAGATGCCTAAAGACCTAGGATACTATTGACTTACAGAAATCTTACTTTTTAAGAAAGACACCTGTGTCACCTTACATAGGGAATGTCCAAGGGTTTGGCTCGGATGCTCTTTGGTTAGGGTCTCCTCAGCCTCAGCTCTGTCAGACTGTGGTGATCAAGACCAAGAGGACGTGATCTCTCTACACCTCAAACAATTCTACAATGTCATACAAGCTTGCGACTCGTGCATGTTCATCAAGAGCCTGCAACTCGATGAGCATACTTGTACATGTTTCATGTCTTGCAATGTCCATGGGTAAAGACACACATGCTTGCAATATATCACGTGCTGAATTCGCCAAGCCAAAGCCTGGAGGCTACAATCCAGACATTGTAGATCCATTTGATCCTAAAGAGGCTGGGGAGCATGAGGCATGCAAAGCCTGTTCAACGTGAGTGAGCACAGCCACATGCGACATGGTGAGCGGACAAAGATCTCCACTGCATTGAGGTTATAATCGGTGTTCGGAGATTATATCCACAGTATATGAGCTAGAGCTAGAAGAGGCTAGAGGCTCCTTTTGTCATGTGTTGTCTCCTCGCGTTCAAAGACATTTCTTTAAGCCTTGCTTTGAATGAAGTGGCCAGGTGTCAGCAGAGTGGTGAGGGCCTCCCAGACATGACCTTGAGATGATTCTCAGGGTTTCACGGAGGCTTTCAACTGGAGGGTATGGCTTGTAAGTACAGACTGTAAAGAGCTGAATTCCACGGATCTTTTTCATTTGAGGCTTTGAGTTGTAAGCATTCAATATTTAGCATCATTTAACTCCCTCTTTCACCCGTTTCTTCTTCGCTGGGATAAGCCTACTCAAGAACACGTGGTCGATGAATCATATGTCTGGCTGGTGTTGTGATGAAGTGTCAGCACGCGAGTCTCAAAACTTTTGAAACTACTTTCACCGCTCAAGATCTTGAGGTCTTGCAGTCTTACAAAAGATGTGTCTCCATGTGGGTCACTAGATGATTGCAGTGTTGGGTGCAGTGCTCCACACACCTCAGATTGCGAACCAGACCCTTTCACAGGACCAGAGTTACAACAGCCTTTGACTGGGCTCATGATCATTCGATTTATCCTCCAAGACTGGTTTTTCCTGTTGATGTGTGCAGTTCGGGGCGCAACTGTAGAAAATCCAGACATCCCACCAATCCAGCAGAAGTCGATTCCAGGTTTATCATGGTGTATCCAAGATACAATCTTCAACCTCTCCATTGCGATTCGATCCCACATGTCCCAGATGCACTTGGCGCCAGAACACCTGGCTTCAATCCCAAAGATTCGCTGGTTTATATCGTTTTGGCCGACCCTTCAACAAAACCATCGTTTGGGATTTGATCCAAAAAGAGTCTTGAGGGATCTATGAGCTTGTTCTGACAACTCGTTTGGCATCCACCTGCGGACGTGTGCCTGAGGTTTGCCAGCTTGCCGTCCGGGGGGGTCGGAGCAGGCGGCAGTCAGTTTGCAAACCAACCTATAAGTATGTTTGCCTTTTCCTTTTTGCATGTTTATCTTTGCTTGTAGGATTCAGAACTCTCTTCCATTCGGAGTGCAGTTGTTCTCAGTTCATTAAAGGAGAAGGTTTGCAAGTGGTTGTGGAATGGCGATGGCCTCCAACCTAATAATTAGCGATGGCCTCCACCCTAGCAGGGCCTCCAACCCAAGAGCGATCATCCAGATAGAATTTGAAGGTCATCAACGATTGCAGCTCAAGGGCACAAAGACATTGCAGTTGACAATGACCTCGGAAATGTCTCCCGCAAGAGTTTGTATACTGACTGAGGACGACTATACTATACAGTATATTTACGTATGCTCAGCAGCGACGCCTCATATTGGTGCTGTACCAGAACAACATATTAAGGGAACAAACAGTGCGCAAACACCTCCATCCAAATCTCTAGTTTCAATCAGTTCCGTGGAAGGCTCACGAGCGTCTCCACCGGGTTTTGGTTCCAACTGGGCTTGTTTCAACGTAGGGGAGCTTGCCACGCACGTCTCCTATCTACGTCTCATCTACCATTGCTAGACCTGCAGTCTTTGCATGGAAATGCATGGAGTCAACTCGATGCGTTTCATCTATGCCTCCCTTTTCTTCCTTGGTGTCCGTCCAACGTCCAACTGCCAGGCCTTCCAGACTTTGCCAGAGCCGCAGAATGGCCCGTATGGTCACGCACAGAAGACAGGCATCTGGTACCATAACGATGGAGGCAGGGAGGAAGAGAGAGCGCTCAAGCTGCACGTGTCAGTATGTAATGGATGATGTATGATGTCGATTTCCTTTGGTTGATATGAGGGGTCTTTCAATGATGCGATCTGAGTGGCGATCACATTTGGCATTGCTTGTGGGCATCTAGTCATATTTAGATCTCAGGCTGAGACAAATATTTGACAAGCTTGAGAGCATGGCTTAGAATTGATTAGTCCCCACCAGTGTGCCTCGCGACGGGATGATACGCTGCAAAAGGATGGGACTTCCACAGATAGTGTGATGAGTGTCAACAGGGACGATCAACACACTTTAAGGCTTGAGTTAAGCTGCTATTGGAAAGGTTTCAATAGACGCGTCGCTTTTGAGGAGGCTGGTGCCTTGTCCTTGTCCCTGTTGGTTGAAGTGCTGCTTTTGCGGTTCAATTTCTTCGAGGTCCTCCATGGCACTGGCTAGGCATGGCCATGCACCTCCGGGCTTGGACCAGGGACAGTCGTCAGGCCAGTTCATTGATGCCTACGACTACCCAGAGAAATATGCGGAGCAAGCCGCCTTGCAGAAAGCCACGGCGCGGGGCTGGGCAGAATTGATGTGACAGGAGCTTTGGCTCGTGGTTTTGAGTGGTTCTTTGGTATCCAAACAACACAACATTTGCCTGGGTATTTGTGGGGTGTTGTTCCATGCTCTCACCGTTGATTTCAAGAATAGTGTGGGTCTAGTTTTCAAGGGGTGCAACATGCACACCTCCAACTTTTGGTATTTTGGAGGCCATCGCTCTTAGGTTGGAGGCCATCTCTTCTAGGTTGGAGGCCATCGCTAGTGTGCACCTCGGCCTAGCTGCGAGCTTTCTTGCAGGGTGGAGATGTGCTTCACTTGTTGAAGGGCGCGGCCAAGAAACAGGCGAATTGGTGGGAGGCCAAGCCCGTCTTTGCAGATCGTGCCGGGGGTGAATCTGTGGAGAGACTCCCAAACCAACGGGTCCACTTCTCTGGAGATGTCATGTGTACTTCAGATTCCAGATCGATTTGCCGGACCCTGTTGATTTCTATATTATAACTGATAGTTGGATGTTAAGGTTTTCCTAAAAGGCAGCTGGACACAAGAATCACAGTCGCAAAAGCAACGCAGTTGAGGTTTGCAGCCATATGCCACACAATATACTTTGGAATTACATATATATATATATATATGTATATATGTA